TTTTTCAGCTCTTCTTGAATCATAATCACAGGCCCTGAGCACACAGAGAAAGTGTAGCTGTAGATGGCTTTTTTTATGATTGTTAATGAGAATTAAGCTTTTTGCTCACTGTTTTTACGATGCTACGCGCCTTGTGCTTCTGGGCTCTAGGTGCCTGGCATTTTTGCTCAGTGCGGAAAAGCGGCCCACATCATCTTAACTTTTTTCCTATGGTCCAATCGGATAATTTGAGAGGGGGAACAACAAGTTTACAGTTGTTGGTTGCTCGATACCCACAGCTATACAACTTTACAAAATGAAGTTACCACGATCTCTCATGTACCCACACAGATCTCTTTTTCCCTGTGTTGCACAAACTATTTACTGACAGCTTCTCACCCTCAACCAGAGCTACAGCAAGTACCCTCTGCCTCAACATTTTACTGTGAAAATAAGTAGGGAAAAAAAAATAGTAGATTGATTACACAGGAAGGTTAGGGTAAAGAGGTGATGGGGTGGTTGCCTGGCAACAATAAAATGATGCAGCAAGCTTTTTTTGCTAGTGGCATTCAATAAAAGAATAAATTAGAAAAAAGGCAGTGTGGTGTGGCACGCATTTACAACCTGCAAAACACTTTCTGTGTGATCAGGGCCTTAGAAAGTGGATCACCAGAATTGTTTTTTTTTAACTTGCAGCTCAGGGCTTCCGTAGTTTATATCCACGTTGTAGAGAAAAAAAATGATTAGTATATTTAAACATAAAATATTGTGAATTTCAGTTCTGGTTGATTTGATTTGAAGTCCCAGATTTCAGTTTGTTTGTGCATGTATCATTTCCTGTATATCCCCTGTGCATGTATACACTAATTGAATTCAGCAAAGGAATGGTGGACCCCGCCACTGACATTGCATACTACATTATATAAAAAGGAAACAAATGATGGCAATCATAAATACTATGGAAAAAATGGGTTTGATATGATGTAAATCTTGAGGATGATAACTTTAAAGCCACATAAAAACCATTGATATCAAAGATACTGTTTGTATTTAAACACAGCTACAAAAACCTACTGTACAAAAAACACATGGTGAATACTTAAAGCCGTTTTTTTAACATATGTTTTTTCATTCCTTTAGGGTCCTGACTTTTGCATAGCACATGAGGATTTTTTGCATCTCGTTCTGCCCTCTCTCGATGACCAGGACATGGTTCTTCTTCTCTACACACACTCCGGTGGGACAACACTTGTTTGTCATGTTTAAATTCTGTCCAAATCAAATCAATGTGTGTCTTGACGGCTTCTCTCCACAGACGATGTCAGTGAAGTGGTGAAGCTGGGGCGCAGAGTGAGAGAAAAAATGTCCAACCTCTATGCTGTTTATCACTTGGTTGATGGAGACACTGCAGCTGCTGTACACCAAGTATCTATCTCTCTATTTATCTGTCTGTCTGTTTGTCCATTCGCCCATTTGTCCACCTAATAAAGTCTGTTGTTGTTTTGCAGGATGACATCAACAAGCTGTGTTTATCCTCTCTAAGAATCACTTGGCCTGCTTCAGGGAGCTTATTACACATGGTACAGCACACACACACGGACACACTCATGGACTCAGTGACTCATTGAAGTATGATAAGTAACGGTTTGCTCCCTTTGCTTTGTCTCCCACCCTCCCTCAACAGAGCTTTTGCAGAGCTGTAAAATGAATTTAGTCTTTATTGATTTTCAGGTTTTCTTCTTTCTCGAATTCTACAGGTCTCATTTTAGATGGCAGCTTATTTACGTTTGCATTGTTTCCTTTTAGTCTAGCTTATGTAAATGCAGAGAGCAGAAAATCAATTCTGCCTCTCTCTCAGCAGTGGGAGCTGTCCACTAAGCTGCTGCTGAACGCCGTGAGCACCGGAGCTCACGTCTTAAAGGGGAAGATTTACCAGAACCACATGATTGATGTGCAGGTCACCAACAGCAAACTCTACCGCAGAGCCACACGTCTTCTCCAGGTATATATAAGTACAGCCTTAATAGGACATAAACAGGGTTTTAAATCACCAAGGAAACCTGCTGTTGCCTCCAAGATCCCAGCCAGTACAGTGCATACAGCGCTCTACATAGTAGATGTGTCTCCAAACTCACTGCCAGCTAGGCAGTTTGTATTTAATGGCCAATATCATACAATACTGACTGTTTAAACACAGCAACAATCACTGTCTCATCCACACATGCTTTATTGCTATTGCTTGAGGCTGTGACATCTCAAAATTGAACTCCACGCGATGCAAATTTGCTTCTTAAAGGGCCAGTGTGTAAAATGGGTTGAAAACAGTGACATCAGTGGTCATATTCTAGATTGCAGGGCTCACTCGCTCACCCCTCCTGTCGGGTAAATGACAATGGCCTCGTAGGGACAAAAAGCCTTGCGCAGACACGAGTTTTTCCAGGAGTAGGTCTATCTAGCGACGAGGTGAATGTTTATTTAGAAATCTAAACCATGTTACGATATTGTAATGAATCCCTCACGAGCAGGAGACGAGAGGAGTGTTCGGGAAAAATGCCAGTTTATTTGAGCACTCCAAAAACTCCGGTAACACTCCAGGGGGTAAAAGACTCCGTCCCAAACTCTGACTCTTCTGGCATAACACACACACTTCATACACACATACTCGTTTACACTACCTAGCGGGGACCCCCTCCCCTCTCTGCTCCACCAATCTCCAGCCCGCACACTGACTGACAGCGTAGCCTGTAAACAGAGCTCAGCTGTTTATTTAGCCTAGCAATATCTCCGGACTATAGGAGCTGCAATGGACGACTTTGAACACGATTTTGAAGAGTTTCTTGTAGTGGACACAGACCCAGAGCCATACCTGTTTGAGCCGGAGCATACAGATGAGAGCCGGAGTACACTGAGCGGACAAGAAGAGAGGCTGAATCCTCCGGTCCCATTTTGCTGCACAGAATGGGATTCGGTGCTACTGCTACCATTGTTGGGGAGATATATCATCAGGAGGAAAAGCGCCGCAGAGAGTGCATCACAAGGAGTGAAGTTGCGTCTTCTTTTCCTCGCAGATGACGGTTCGGGTTCATTCTCTCCTGTTGCGTGGTAAGTGTGGTCCATTCCCAAACTTTATAACTAAAAAAACTTTTCATTACTCTCCACTGACGAACTACTAACACTCTGCTGTTTCCTCCTCCTTCTTCCTTCCTCCCGCTGTCTTTGTTGGTTTATTTATACACACGAAACGCGTTCTCTGGCTGGCTGGATTGTCCGCTCGGGCTGCATTACATACATGGCGGCACAAGATGGCGACCTCTCTAAAGCAAGGCCCTTGCTATATATATATATATAAAAGCATAATTATAAGGCTACGAAAACTAAACAAATTTTATTTTATAGCGATTATACACTTATATAAACATATTAATGGGTAGAATATTCAGATTCAGATTCAGATTTGACAATAAACCATGCCAAACATTACACACTGGCCCTTTAAATGTTTCATTTGCCTCTCCACTCACACTGAATGGAAGTGAACAGGAGGTGAATATTTGCCAGTGTTAATTTCTCTCATGTGTGACTGCACCCTTATGGTGTCAGAGTGATGGAGATAGCCGGAGAACAGTTGGATACAAAACAGGATGTAGGCTCCACAAGATTTTTCTTTGTTTTTCCAAAATTTTGTACAGATTTTTAGGTATTCTATTATTGCAAATGGTTTGACAAATAGTGAATATAGCTGCTGTAAATGCAAAAAGCACAGAGCACTGACTGTTTCCAACGTCTGGTTTCACCCCTGATGATTCATTTTCCTAAGAGAAACTTAAGTAATTAAAGTTTTAGATCTCGATTTTGACACAGGCTCCCTCAGGCAAGGCAGATACACAATATAAGTTTGCAAACAATCCAACACATAAGAATCAGTGACAGATTTCGGAGCTGAACTGACGCTGTTTCCTTCTCCTCCCAGAAGCTGTCTGGTTGTCCTGAGTCCCAATGTGAGCACGCCCTCCTGAAGGCTGTGTACTGTATGGACAAGCTGACAGCGGACATCACATCCTCTGACATCACCACACACACATGCACGGCCAGAAACAGATCCAAGGTGAGGAGGCTGTAAGGTGCATAAAGCACTGGGGGGAATTTACTGTATGAATGTTGTTATATTATCTTCTCTGTGTGCAGGTGGTCCCTCTGGCTTTGGTGTGTTTGCTGACTGGGTGCTTGCTCAGAGAGGCGGAGACTCATCTGGAGCGACAGCCAATTGTGAGGGAGGCTGTGGAGGCGTGCCTGTCATAATTGACATGGTATGATGTCATCGTTAAGTCCCTTCCCACGTACATTACAGGCATGTATTTAATCAACTCTCTGTTTAGTGTTCTTGCTTTGCTTTGATTATGAGGTAAAATCACCTGCACCCGGAGGAGCTGAATGCAAAACCTTGTTGTAACACTAAGAGGCACTTCAACACTGGCATAATACCCTGCAAATGTACTGCCAATTTGTACTGTCCTTAGACCAGATAGTGTTTTGGTTTCAAATATGTGGGTACAAGATGTTAAAATATAGTGCGTGCAATAAAATCTGCAAAATATAATTCAATTATTTCATCTTTTCTTTTAATGGGGAGCAAAAAAATATGTGTTCTCTTTATGTGTTATATAATAATCACTATATTGCAGAACAATTACATGTTAGAAAGACTATAACTGGCACCGGGGTGACATCTGATGTTTCACTGACATTCTCACCCTGTGTACTGTAAGAGTTTTCTGCAGGAACAGGCGCTACCATCCTGTTCCATGTGATCTAACTCAACCTCAATCCCTCTGTGGCGCAACACACACAGGTAGTGGATTAGTGTGACGTGTGTGTATCTTGAGAGCAGTTGAGTGGCTTTGGAAACACCTTTGGAGCAGGGCCAAATGCAGAAGGGGAAAAGCACAGACCAAAGGAAGGTACATATCAGATCTGGATCAGAAAACACGGCCTCTGTACACAGTGAACCGTTGAACCCAAAGCAACATGAGAATCCTGTGCGTTTATTTTATTTATATCAACATTATAATCACACATTCATTTGCTCTAGGTACATGATGTTTGCTTGTCACTGAGTGATGGACAGCCACACAGAGCAATAACAGCATAGGCACACACACACACACCCTCTTGGTACCACAAACAGAAGGATTTCGTCAAACTAAGCAATAAAAGAAACACGTTTTCCCCCGTTCACACTGTCCTGCTCTAAAATACAGTTAGGGAGTAAGCTCAGCTCATTCAGCTTGGGTTAAACAAGAGGAAACACTCCTTAGGGGTCTTAAAGAGTCTGTTTTCCAGCATTTTAAATAGCAGCTGATTCATTCCAGCCTCTTTAACAGGCTCCCTGATTCAAGTGGAGAGCCACTAACAGACAGAGAGGATGTCAGGAAACAAAAGATAGCCACCTAACCGTGATCTCCCATCTGTTTCTGTCAATCTACCTTCTTATAACCATGGATACAGTAAGGCATCAGTAACATGCTTCACGCTTGTTGGTCCACACGGCTGGTTAGGCAAACCCCACCTGAGTCTACAGCATGTATCACTGAAATTTAAGCAGCTAAGGTTTACGTCAACCCTGATATTCAGATGTTTGCCTCAGATATGCTTCGTCGTGGAAGTTTGTGACTGAGATCTTGGGAAAGAAATGCATGTAGAGTAAATGACAACATCAATTGGACTACATAAATAAAATGAGGTACAGTTGCTCAAGTTTAGACATCAAGAGAAAACTCAAACATTTTACAATAAAGCTATTAAAATACAGTCTTCTCTGTCTGTTTCTGAGTGGAAAGTAATCCAAATGTCACTTTAAAGTATCGTATAACACTGTGACAGGGCCAAGCGAACTGTTCCCCCTGCTTCTGTGCTCAGCAGCTTGATATTTAGAATACAGACATGAGAGTAGTATTGATCCTCTCATCTCACTCTCTGCAAGAAAGTGAATCAATCCCAAAATATGAAACAATTCCTCCAAGGTAATCAGATTACACCACAGAGCTTTAGTAGGTTTAAACAGCAGGCTTCTTTACAGACTATAGATTAAAGCAGGTAGTTAAGTAATAGCTAGGCGATGACCTTCCACACCCCTGAGTATACAGATGTAATGGGACAAGTCAAAAATACATACGACTGAAACAGGCATTTAATGTCTAACATGTCGAGGTACTTGGTATATTAGCCATGGACGCCCGTTTCTGCTAGAGTGATGGAAAAAAATTCTGTTAATCCATTTTAATAAGAAACTTCCTCAAAATGACGAGTTAGTGTCTCAAAATAATGAGAAACGTCCTTAAAATAATGACTCTGTATCTCGAAAACACTGAGGAACGTAACCAAAATAATGAGTAAGTATCTTAAAATAAGAAGAAATGTTTTGAAAAAAGGATAATAAAGATATAAATTCATTTTTGTAATGACTTAACAGGATCTTTTCTTCATCACTGGCAGAAATGGACTCCCTTAATTAATGGCTATATGATTGAATACATCATTAAACCTGTGGTCCACTGAACACAAAACCGACTTTATATAACACACCCATGGGTGTCAAAATTTTTCAAAAATATACCTTATTCATACACATACAATACAGAAATAGACATATCCCTTTGTACATACAGTTAACTTAAAAAATATACAAATATAATTCACATAATTAAATAGGATATGGTGGTGGCTTCAAGTTTCAAGATTCTACACCGGATCTGGGGTGATAAAGTGCTTCAAGTGTTTGAGTCTTTGTTTTTGGTTGCAGTTTTTACCCTACATAACTGGGAGTCTTCTGTGACCTTAAGTCTGGTTTCCATGTGAGTTAAAAGTCATCCAGTTCGACGTCGCTCTCTTTGGGTTTGCGGCGTTTGACCCTGCCCGGCGAGCGGCTCCTCCTCTGGCCTGTACCGCCACCGGTGGATCCACCGGCAGCCATTTTGGGCACTTCTATGGAGTTCACAGGGTTATGAAGTGGATCTGTGTCAATGTCCTCCATGGAGCCGGGCTGGGACTCCACAGAGGTCCTGGTGATCTGATGGAGGAGAGCGCCATCCTCCTTTTTGTTCACCTCCTCCTCTTCCTCAGGCTTGAACTCTTCAACAGCATCTTCCTCTCCTCCGCCCTCTTTCTCCTCCTCTTCTCCTGTGGCTGCAGTCCCCTCGCGTCCCGATTCGTCCGCACTGGTGTTGCTCGGACGTTTGCTGTCGGTGTCGGAGTCTTCGGCATCGGCCTCTTCTCCCTCGGTCACAGTCACCCCCTGGCCCTGAGGGTCAAACTAGATCATTTATATCTGAGCAGTTGTAATTAGCTAAATTGGGTGCTACTAGGGCAGCCAAGTGTCACTAATTACAGCGACACATTGGTTACACACCAGAAGTAGTGTCAATCAGTGCAGAGAGACCGCTGTAATAAAGTGAACGCAAGGTTCTAACTAAACATTTTGACAATAACAGCAGATGTCCATCAGTGGAAGCAATGTGTTGCTGCTAAACAAAACAGATTTGTTCAGTCTATCTAATTGGATAGCGAGATTATCTTTCCCCACAGGCTTAGAATTAGTGGTGAGGCTGCAGGACTGTACTGTAGGTCAGATTCCTCTTTAAGGTGAAGTAGATTTTAACCCAGGGGTCATGTTCAGGCTGTTTAAAATAGATGGTGCTCAAATTGGTATTCATAGCTAGGATGTCAGTTTATTCCTATGCAGGAACAGTCACTGATGTCATCCAACAGACTGTTTTTAAATGAAAAGAGCAAAAATAATATCTGCACCTGTTTGCGCTTCCTCATTAAAAATACCAGTAGTCACTAATTAGAATTTTCATTGGTCTCTTTTTGGTTAATTTTGTTACTCTTCAGTGTACTTCACCACGCACCAGTCGAGTCTGGTGAGAGCTAGCTAGCACCGCTCATTTGGCGATTACCGCTTATTAACACTGTCCTCACCTATCAACATCGCTGTGGAAATGTTGTGCCCACCCTCCAATCTCTCCCCAGGTCACCCCAGCGAGTAAATGGCTAAAATTTGAGCCGCAAACTCCCTTTACCATTGTCACAATGTCATTGCAGCAAGCTCTGTTAGCATTGTTAGCAATGTTAGTATGGCTGGTGGTGCTAACATAATTAACAATGCTAAAGAGGTTTTACAGCTCAAAATGAAGCTGCTAACTCACTTCGGTGACCTAGGGGGAGGCCGGAGGGTGGCTAATATGTTTTAGCAGTAATGCCGTCCCGCCAACGGGACAATGTTACCAGCAGTAATCGCTGAATGAGCGACGCCACCAGCTAGCTTCCGCTAATCTAGGTAGTGCATGATGCAGAGCAGGCAAGGCTATTAGCTAACCAGTAAAGAGTGGAGGGTGGGCAGTGGGTTAACGCGTCTAGCTGGCTGTCAGCTAAGCTTACAGAGTATAGAATAAAAGGCAAGACATTTACATCACAAAACATTAAAATTTCGGCACTTCTTGATGGATAGCATTTTGAAATGCAGCGCCAAAGCTCACTGAGTCAATGGGCCTCTTGTATTTCACGTCATTTCACATTTTTCCCATAAATTAACTGGTTACTTACCAGTTAAGGGCTATTGAAACAAAAAAAGTTTATATATTGCTTATGAATAATAATAAGGGGTTTAAACCTGTATGCGCTAAACTACAGCAACCACAGAGGGTCAAAGCTGAGCCTGAAAGTCATTTTCAAATTGAAAAAAATCCTTATGCATGTGATTGATCCTACCTGTGATGAGGTTTTCTCCTCCTCTGATGCCGCCCCTCCCTGCTCTTCACTCTCTCCTTTCTTTTCATCTTCATGTGACTCCCCTTCAGCAGCATCATCCCCGTCATCTTCATCTTCCGCCTCTGCCGAAGCGCTGACGTTTCCCTCCACAAAGTCCTCCACCAGAGTGGATTCTTCATTTTGTGCAGGGCTGTCATTCTCCATTTCCCCAGATGCCTCTTCTTCTTCTTCTTCTTCTTCTTCTTCTCCGCTTTCCTTGCCTGTTGTTTCTTCTTCCTTAAATTCAGACACCTCGCACTCTTTTGCCTCTGCCTCCTCCTCCTCCTCACCCTCGCCATTTTCAGTGGTCTCTCCTTCACCTGCTGTTGCCTCTTTTACTGTCTCCTTGTCACTCTCCTCCTCCTCCTCCTCTTCCCCGGTTCCTGTCTCTTCTTCATCCTCTGCGTTCTCCCCCTCTTCCTCCCCTGCTTTCTCTTCATCATCTCCTGTCTCATCTTCACCTGTGTTGTCACATGTTTCCTCAGCATCCTCTCCTTCTGCTGTTTCCTCCTCTCCCTCATCTGCTTTGTCGCTCTCCCCTTCATTGCCGTCACAGTGGCATTGACATTCTCCCTCCACTTCCTCCTCCTCTCCATTTTCAGATGTCTCCTCTTCCCCAGCTTCCTCACCACCTGTGTCTTCCTCTTCCTGCTCCTCACCACCTGCACTACTTTCCTCATTTTCCTCCTTTTCAGCTTCTTCCACCTCCTTTTCCCCTGCCTCACCCCCATCTTCTTCTTTCCCTACTTCCTCATCTTCCTCTGGGATTGTCTCCTCTAAAACAACTTCAGCTTTGATATCCTCTTTAGTTTCCTCCTCTTCCTCTTCTTCTGATATTGTCTCCTCTAAAACAACTTCAGCTTTGATATCCTCTTTAGTTTCCTCCTCTTCCTCTTCCTCTGGCATAGTCTCCTCTAAAACATCAGCTTTGATATCCTCTTTAGTTTCGTCCTCCTCCTCCTCCTCCTCCTCCTGCAAAACCTCTAAATTTCTTGACTCCTCTACTGTGGCCTCACTAACATCTTCCACCCCTGCAGCTAGTGGCATAGCTGTAGGCGATGGGCTTTTCTTCAGCTGCAGTATCTTAAGGAGGTCAAACTCCATCATCACTGGTGCTGTCGCTGCCAGCGGGTTGGCGTTGAGAGGCCGGGTGGCCATTTTCTTGCGAACACAAGCATCACAGGGACAGTACTCGTCATCGCTTCGCTGGTCGCTGAACTCACCTGTCAGCTCTCCATCACTTAGGTCTTCACCAGTTTTTACTGACTGGTTCTTCATGACCTGAAAAATAAACCAAACATTATCTTTCTGCCTTTCAAGCAGCAGTATTTTGTTAGATATAAAGACGATTTGGTGGAATTACCTTCAATATTCGACGCCTCCTCTCTGTCATGGTGGAGTCCCTAGAGAGGTTTCCTCTTTGCGGCGGCCGGGGTGTCCTCTCCCCTCTGCCGGCACGACCCTGAATCTTCCTGACCTCACGCTCGATGCTGCTCTGGATGCGTCGGCTCACCTCGTCCCTCAGCTCACTGATCATTGTATCCAGGATGAGGCTGTCGTCAAGGTCCCAGCGAACTTTGAACTCCGCCATGGCAGTTATGTAGTGGTTCATGAACTGTTTCTCCAGCTTCTTCAGAAGGTGCAGGACCCACACTGGATCAGGGTCTTGGGATTGTCTTTTTGACAAGGGTGCTCGCAGGACAGTCGGGGGCGTGGCTGAGCTGGAGTCCTCCACTGTCTCTCCTTCGTTATCAGTGGGGGATTTGGAGCTGTCATTAACAGAGCTCTTTTCTGATGATGAGGGATTCTCGGTGGCTTTTGGACTGTCCAGACTTGGAGGGACCATACTTTGATCTTCACTCTGTACCGGTTCCTCTGCTGTGCTTGTCTCCTCTGCTTCTACCTCAGTTTCCTTGAGTTCTGCTTCTGCATCTCCCTCCTTCTCCTCCTCTTCTCCAACTTTCTCCACTCCCTCATCCTCATGTACAGAGGTTGTTTTGTTTTGCTTTGCTTCATCTCCACCTTGATTTCCATTCTCCTTCCCTGATCCTCCAGAGCCACTGCTCATCCCCACCCCGGATGAGGACCTCGGTGGAGTCACCTGCTCTTTGCCGACGTCCTTGTCTTCCTTGGCCTCAGTGTTCCTGGGTTCAGTGAGCCAGAGGGACTGAAGGATGGCCATGATGTCCTCATACTGCTGGTTGCGGTCCTTCTGTTGGTCACAGCCAGGACTTACTGTAGGCTCAATGAGCTGGAGCTGGGCTAAACAGTCCAAGAGTCCCCAGGCTGAGTTGCTCAGTCTACGACCATAAACTGGAGACACCTACAGAAGACAGCAGAAGATACAGATTACATCAAATACATAACGTAATCTCACATTCATGCAATCCATCTTAAATCCCTGTATATCAGGCATTCTTGAAAAGCTTCAGAAGATCAGTTCATTTTTCAGATGTTTCTTAAAACTGAGCATTTTCACTTTCTAAATTACTGAATGGTTTTTACCTCTTGGGGCTTCTAAAATTATTCAAATAGCCCACAACAGGGGAAAATATCCTTTACATATTTGCAACCAGTGACAGGATTATACAAGATTGCTTCAATTTAAGGGGTTAAAAACACTAACACTATGTGGATAATTATTTAAATGTGAATATACTGACAGTTCTCTCATGTACTATATAGTTTGTAGTAGAATAATGCTAAAATGATTGGACAAAAATTTTGAATTGCTTAACCATTTAGGTAGTTTATTAAATATTCTCTCAAATTCCAGCTTCTCAAATGTGAAGATTTACTGCTTTTCTCTGTTTCATGACTGTAAAATAAACATTTTTAGGTTTTAGACTATTGATTTGACAGAAAATACGTTTTAAACTTTATACATTCATTAGTTAATTAAAAAAATATACATTAAACAATAGTTTTAAGTAACGTTAATAGTTGTTGTATGCAGCCTTCAAAGAGTGCAAAGATGGCCAATCCGGAAGTTAGTACTGCCCTGGTTTCCTTGACAAAAAGGCAATGAGATTTTTCCTTTTGATTTTGTATCATTGCAGAAAATAACCTCTGTGGCAAACAAAAGTTCACGATATTTACAAGTTGTTCATCAAGGTAATCTTCATAAACACTTCTGAAGTGTAAATGCAATTGCCAGAAGTAACAAGCTAACGTTAGGCTATAAACAAACAAAATTACGTTTGCATTACTTCAGCGTCAACACCACAATGAGGCTGTGTTTGGCATGATGACGTTCTGTAGTCTCATTTAGCCACTTCTTGGCAAACATCTTTTTAAAGACGTGAAAGCTTCAAAATTCACAAGTGGGGGTTTTACTGATGTATTTTATCAAAATATAAAAATCTCTCTAGCTTGTGTTAACCACAGACCTTATTTCAGGCATTTAACCAAAAACCCATTAACAAACCAGAGAACCAGAAATGCAAAAATGCTGCCTAACATCATTGGCTTACCTCAGGCATACTCTGACATCGACCCAGAGAGGAGCTCAGAAGAACTTTCATCACTGCGGCTGAACAATTCAAGCTCCTGGGCAGAGAGTCACCGCTCACCAGCAGGTTGTTGGAGCGAGTCCCCGCTGTGTCACCTAGAGCCAGATCTGGACTCCTCTCCACCTCTCCTGCATCACATTCAGCTTCTTCCTTTTTCTCCTCCTCCTCTTCAGCCTCAACTTTCTCCTCCTCACTTACTTTCTCATCCTCTGGACTCTCCTCATCCTTTGCTGCCTCCTCTCCAGGTTTCTCTTCCACCACCTTCTCTTGCTCCTCCTCCTCATTCAGTTCATCACCAAGTGTGAGCATGCTGCTGTTAGGGGGAATGCTCCGCAGCCAGTCGCTGACAATCTCGTTGGGGGAAGCATTGGGCAGACAGCCAGGTGACAGCTCCAGTTCCTCCTGATCCATCTGGTTCTTGCTCCTCTGACACTTATTACTTGCAGACTTCTCACTGGTTTTACTGGCCTTCGAATGTCGGCTGTGTGGCCGAGCAGCAGCCATGGTTTCCTTCAGCATGTCAGCAGCGGACAGAGAGTGAGACAGAGAGCTCTCACTACACGACTCCACTTTGCTGCCTGGTCTGGAGTTGTGTAAAGGACAGGGGCTTGAGGATTTGACGTTTTTCTTTTGAGAATCAGATGTTTTGCCACTGCCACTGGATTTGGCCTTGTGATCTTTGACTGAATCCTCACCTTTTGAGGCTTTTATTTTTGAGCCTGAGTGAGTCGAAGCTGCCGACTCGGGCTTGAGGCAACAAGGACTCTTGGAGTGGACACTGGTTACCTTGTTGTATGCGATATCTTCTTTCCCTTCTGCCTTACTGGCTGGTCTACTGACAGCCTGATTTTCAGTGTCATTATCTCCTGAATCTCCAGCTGCAGTGGCATTTTTAGTGATGGCACTTTCAGGGGATTTGCTCCGAACTTTAGCACTTGCTGCTGACATTGCAGAGGACGCCCTGTTGTCTGGAACATCCATATTGCTAGCTTTTGTTGTTGAAGCAGACTTGACACTTCCTGTTTCAGGGTCATTTTCTGCCCTAGTTGGGCTGGCACTCGGAGGCTTACTGTCAAGCATTTGAGCTGCTGCTTTGACACCACACTTACAGCAGGACTTGTGAGACCTGCTGCTTTTGGCTGAAAATGCAGTGGATCCTCTTTCTGATTTTTGCTCTCTATTTTGTTTATCATCATTTCCTCCTGGTGTTTCAATAATAGGGATCTCAACTGCTGGATGATTGTTAGACAAAGTGCTTTTATTGTTGGACTTGTGGGACATGATAGATACCGTTTCCTCCCTTTCTTCCTCCATGGTGGACTGCTCTGTTGCTCTCTTCTTCTCTTCCTTTCTCTCATTGTTTGTGTGAAAAGAAAAATTGGACTTGCCGCTGTCTGAGTCTGCTGTTTCTTGGTCTTCTGGCAACCCAAGAGAGACTGACCCTGATGAGTTTCGACTCAGAGGTTGCTCTGTGCCCCCTGATTCTTTCCTCTGCCTTTTGGTTGAGGACGACAGGATGCTGGCAGCCCGCTCAGAGGCCACCTCACTCTTCAGCTCCTCATCTTCCTTTTTCTCCCCCTCCTTTTCCTTATTTGCCTTTTCAAGTGCCGATGCTGCTCCACAGCGACATTTGGATTTTCCAGATTTTGCAGAGGTTTTAGAGTGAACTGACAAGGCACTGGGCCCTCTTGTCTCTGCAGGCAACAGCTGTTGCACAGGGGATTGAGGGCTACTGGAGGTTGCAGATTTGGGTGAGTGGGTCCGTGGGGAACATGTCCTCCTGGGTGAGAGCGTTTGGCCATGAGATTTACTCCTTGGTGCATTGTCTTCCACAACATTTTCATCTGCTGTTTCAATAACAGCAATATCAGCTGTTCCATTATGATTGGACTTATGCGATATGGTCGAAACATTAGATTTCCCTGATTTAGCCGATGCAACGCTCGGCACTCTCTCTGCTATGTTATTTTCTTCCTCGGTGACCCCTTCTGGTGTTTTAATGGTGACAACATTTGGATTTGGTGACACAGGTTTGAGACTTTTACTAGACTTGTGAGAAGTACCAGACCTCACTGAAGATTTTGACTTTACAGACATAGCACTAGACACCCGCTCTTGATTTTCATCTTGCTTCTCTTCTCCATTTGTCTCAATAGAAGGAATATCACCTTCATTTGGATTTGAAGATGCTGCAGTGTGGTTTGACTTCTGGGACTTGGAGGACTTTGCAGAGGCGTGCGATTTCCCTGACATGGCGCTGGGGGTTCTGTCCTCTGTGTCCACCTCTGTCTTTGCTGTGTCTTTGGCTGGAGAAGCCACGCTTGAACTTTGAGACTTTGCGGAGGTGGCTGATTTAGCAGATTTTACACTTTCTGGCCTCTGCAGTTCCTCCTCTGCCTTCTCATTTTCTTTCTCCTCGGAGCTTGGAGATGCTGCAATTTCATTGCCACTGTTGTTAGACTTGCATGACTTTGAAGACTTTACAGACATGTTTGACTTGACTGATCTGCCAGACACTTGACTCGCTGCCCTTTCTTTTCCATCTCCTCCAGTTCCTGACCTGGGAGAAAGTGACCTTTCCGAAGCTTTGGTGGACTTATGGGATTTATTTGACTTGGCAGAGAGATTGGACCTGGCTGACATGGCACTGGCTGCTCTTTCCTCTTCCTCCACTCCTTCTTCCTGTCCTGTTGCTTCGATTGCAGGTTCATCAGCTGGAGATACTGCTCTTGCACAATGACTGCAAGTGGACCTGTGAGATGTGGCAGACTTTGCTGACACATCTGATTTGGCTGATTTAGCAGACTGGGCGCTATCAGGTCTTTCTGTCTTGCCAGACTTGACAGAAAGGGAAGTGGGAGTTCTTTTGTTTCTGTCTTCCTCTTCCACAGCTGTATCATCAGTTGGGGAGGCAACCTTAGTTCTTATTTTGACTGAAGCACTGGTCTTAGCTGAAGCACCAGATTTGGCTGACAATGAGCTATGTGCTCTCACTACAGAGTTCTCTCCCTCTGCTTCCTCTCTTGTCTTTATGTCAGCTGTGCAGCTGCAGTTGGACTTGTCAGACTTACTGGACTTGGCAGACACATTGGACTGAGCTGACATGGCACTGGGGCTTCTCTCCTCCTCTTTTTCTGCTGCAACACAAGTGCTGCCATTACAGCCAGACTTGTGTGATCTAATGGACCTGTGGCTTGTGACTGAAGTTGCACTAGGAGCCCTTTCTTCCTCTTTTTGTTCTGTTTCAGGATTGGATGCTCTGGACATGACACTAGATGCTCTGCCCTCCAGTACGTTTGATATCACAGAGCAGCGCCCGTAGTTGGTGAGGTTGGTCTTGTTGGATTGTGTTGACACAGCTGAATCTTCAGATTCATTGTCCTCACTGTCGTTATTGGCAATCTCTTGACTGGAGAGAGGTGTGGCGGGCTTTGGAGAGGCTTGATGAGAATCATGGGACCTCTGTGATGCTCTGCTATTGGCATCAGAGTTGACTGCACGTCTGCAGCCGCCACAATGAGGACATACACTAGACGCCCTTGACTGCAGAGAAAGCCCTGTGTGACCAGACAAACCACTAACAACCCTCTTTATCTCTTCATTCTCGTCATCTGCAGCCCCCTCCTCCTCTGAGTTTGGGGTCTTAGCTTTGTTGGACCTGCAAGACGCCCTGCTCATTTTGGACCTGGAGCTGGGAGCTCGATCTGTCTCCTCTGCTTCTGCTTTTGAATGTGGGGTAGCTGCTCCACAGTGACAGGAGGAGGCTGCAGATACTGCTCTGCTTCCTCTTTCTTCTTCCTCCTCATGCTCCTCAGTAGCGTGAACGGAACTGGCCAAGACATTGCTTGTTGGTTTGTCACTCAGGTGACTCTGTGAAGTTGGGGATGGGGATGGTTCGTTGCTATGACAGCAGCGTGAGGCACTGGGTGGCAGGTCATCATCCTGATCCTCTTTCAGCGATTGCAGGATATGTGAGGAGCTGCTGATTGCAGACAGTGGACGTTCACTGTCTTCCTCCAGCTTTAGCTCATCCTCTACCGACTTCCTGCCAAGTGGTGGTAAGTTGCTCTCCATGGCAACCACTTCACTGCGGCTGCAGCATCGGTTCACCGTGCACACCTCTACATGTGTGTCTCCATCCTGCTCCACCTCTACTCTGCGCTCAACCTGCTCTGACACAAACATCTCCTCCTGGACCAGTTGGCCCTGCTCTGAATTTCCTCCGCAGTTGGAGATTCGTGCTCGACAGCGCACCACCCTCCTGGAATTACATGATGAGGAAGAGCTAGAAGAGTGTGTATGCCTAACCATAGCGTGGGTGTGGCTGGATGTATGTGGAGGAGGGATGGGAGGCTTTCTGACACTGTGTGCCGGGTTTTCCCACAAGTCGTACTGCTGCTCTGGTCTCTGGTAGCAGCAGGGGCAGTGGTTCCCCTCCAACACACGCTGCACAGGTTGGTTGGAATAATCCACACCCTCTGGGTCAAAGGATGTGGAGTCAGGGTCAGAGCAGCTCTCTGATTGGCCCTGCTGCAGATAATGGGGCTGGGCATGACTCAGAGGGCAACATTCATTGGTGAGAGATGGAGATTTTTTAACTTGTGTTGACCACTGGAGGGTTTCGTCATTGTGTAGGCGAAAACGCACCCTCATCTCCACTGAGAGGCTGCCATCTTTATTGACCAGGACTCGCTTTTCAATGTCGTCGTTCATAATAGCTGGTCTGTTCTGAGAGTAAGAGCTTACACCATTGCCGTATGACTTCTCTGAAGACAAGGAGAAACGGGTGGAGCGGTTTGAGGAATCTGAACGAGGGTGGATGATGCTTTTTTTGGTTTCCAGACCAAAGTTAACTATGCAGAGACAGAGAGAGAGAAAAGGAAATGTAAATGCAACTAGTAATTCACTTTTTCTTACTCCTTTGACCACTATACTGATCAAACAACAACTTACCATTTTTCTTGCTTTCATGCCCTTCGCTGTACTGGCTGGCTCTGGACTGAGCTCCGTGAGGTGGGGATCTTGCTCCTTGAGTAGCAGGAGATCGGGCCCCATTACCAGGAGTCCTGGGGCCGAGACCAGGCAGTTTTTCTTCTGAGCTCTTCCTAATAAAGTTTACTAGCATTGGGCTGAAGGCTTCCCGGCCAACACACACCAACACGCCAGGACAAGTCATCAGGCTTTGCACACTGTCAATCTGGAAACAAATTCACAAAGTGTCAGCTTCTACAAAACACACTGCAAATCATGATCATACATTTAAAAACAAATGGCATCTTACCCTGCGTCCCTCTGCAGTGTAGAGCTTGCGAACGTGAAATTGCATCACCTCAGACACCTCATCAAGAAAGGCCCTCAGACTCCTGGTTGACCTCCTGCTCAGCACCACACTCCTCCTCATCCCTGGCTCGCTGTTTTTAACCAGCAGTATCCGCCGCTGCCTGTAAGAGAAATGGCCTGGTGGTGTTGCGGATGAGGATTCGGGCCGCTGAGGCCTCCGGCTGTGATGGTACCAGATGCTCGGGCGTTTGCTGGCCAGCTCCATGTTGACTGGCTTCGCATGGCGCCGGTCAGAGCAGACGTAGCAGCCGCCATCCTGGAGCTGCTCCAGGTGTTTGATGGCATGGGTGCCACGAGGAGTGGTCACAGTCCGCACGCCAAATGGCAGAGGCACCTGTATGTAGACACACACACACATACTGTAAATACAGTACACATCTGTATCAATCTTTTACCAGTGTGTGTCCAGATCATATTTCATTCAGCAGGTGAACATTTAAGGAAGTAGAGCTACAGTTGCGTCGACACAGCCAGCTTCAAAAGATATCTCTACATCAGAGCTCTGATATCTGTCCCACTAACCTTTTGGGAAAGGTCATCCAGCAGGGCGTCAAAGCATTTGAAGCTGCGCTTGTGGATGGCCATCCTGACGCCCCCAAACTGGCTGTCGCCGCTTTTGTAGAATGTGATCCGCTTAGCCGGGATGGCTGTGGTCACATGGGCGGGGTGTAAGTTGGAGGGGGGCCGCGGGGGGAGGGGTGAGGCATGTTTAGACAGGGGCCGGGGGTCCCACATCCCTGCCTGGACCGAATGCATGCTGCGATCTCACACACACCTGAGGGATACACACAAATTTGCAACACAGAATGTAAAGAAGTTGTTGAATCAGTGACGATCCTGGACTTAAGTAAAGAAGCCCATGAAGGCTTTTGTTTCTAACAACACAAAGGTATGCTTGTTTCATTGTGCTGATAGCAACACCTAACATATGTATGACAGTTAGCAGTAGTCATCTGACTGTCCCAAATAATGCTAACCAGTTTTCATTCATTCATTCAACATAAGTGGCTATTAGGGGCCACTATTCCTAATTTTTTGGGGAGACCAAAACATTTGCCTCTCCTGATGGTGTGTCCCAGTGTTAAATACCCAAAATGTGCATCTGTCATCATTTATTTATTTTATTATCCTTTAATGTGTTATTTAGCCTTTTGTTTTTCCATTAACACACTTTCTAATCACACTCACAAGGTCACAAGTGTTAATCAGGGTGTTTGCCTGAGGACATCCACTAACAAGACTACTTGGCATATAAAGGTGTTACATGTGTCATTTGGCTCCAGCGAGGGAAGGCTTCTTGTACAAAGTCATCCAAATCAATTAGGAGGCTACCAGGTGAATGGTTTACCTGATAAACCTAAAAGTGTTGTTTTACTGCATTATTTCCTGCATTTAATAACCGACATGCCAAAAAATCGTCAGATTGCCTAAAGATTCGTAATGATTCCCATTCTCCCAAAATAATTTGTGACAAAAGACCTCTGGACTGGCATCAACTGTCATTAATTACAGCAACATGCATATCTATGTGTATGTTAGAGACAGAGCTTCCCACAGCCAGCTATATATAGCGTAACGGCACACATGTAGAAATCCTATTTGGAGCAGACGTACAAACTTTCTGTCCTGCTTCTGAACAGCTTGCATAATGTGCAGTACGTAATTCATACAGTTTCACTTTGTTTTCAGACCTCACAGTGTACAGATTGACACACAAATTTAAACTTTTCTATTTGGTTTAGATGAAATTGAAGACAAAAATCATGTATCATGATATAAGCAGCAATATAAACGACTGCAATATAAACAGGTGAATCAGTACGAGAGACTACAGCTCAGTGACACTTTGCCTCTTATTTTCAATACAATGATAATACTGTTAATCACGACTGTTAACTCTGATGATTCTCTATAACCTGTGATAAAAAGGTGAATTATAAGAGGGCTTAGCAGGCTTTTAAGTCCCATGAGACTACGGGACTGCAGGCCAAATCACTGCTCTTAGCTGTAGACACTCAACGTGACACTCTGCCGCTTAATCCCTCTTCAGCCCGACCTCTCCTAACAACTTTACACCTAAAATATCACCACATACAAGCATGATTTTTAAATGAAATCCAAGCAAACCATTACAAAACAACAAAACAGTGATGAAGAGAACATGATTAGCTGCTGGACTGGAAGAAGGCCTGTGCTTAGCATTTGGCTTTCAATATCTCCCCTGCTGAGGCCTACCTGAAAACACACATATACCAAAAGGATAATCACATTAAATTACAGTATTAGCAGCCAAGTTTTCTTGAGGCAATAAATGACACAAAATAAAACTGCTAGCACATTTTAAAAAGACCTTATATCATGACCTATATGCATTAGCCCCTTGAGCATTATAGCAACAAGCTGGGGAACTTTTTATGGCAAAAACATAACATGAAAAATAACATCAGTATCACAACTTATCTTTTACCACCATATATCAACTGTAGACCCATTTTTCAAGCACATTTAAAAGCCATAGATTACTTTACCACTAAGGCATTGCCATTATATGTTAACTACAGACCCATTTTATAACTTAAAACTCAACAAATGAACCGTTTTTACCACTTTTCACTCATTTAAGACATTTTAAAATCTTAAATAATAACTTAAGAAGAATTTCTACCTCTAATTTGACCCCACTACTCACATATTCAGGAAACATGGTCCAAAGAGATGAGAAAAAGCTGGAGGGGAATGTGTCCGTGCAGGGTCTGACCGGCTGAGTCAGACCAGGAATCAGCACTATGTGTGTGAACGTGTCTATAGGTGTGTGTGTGTGTGTGTGGCAGCTTCCTCTGCAGTTTGAGTCATACACTAAGATGTACAGCAGAGCCCCCAGTTCCACGGCTCTCAGGGCAAAATGGCTGGCGGTAATCAGGTGCACGGAGAGGGGAGGGGGCGGGGCGGATGGAGAGAGGAGAAGACAGGAGAAGACAGGAGTGGGGGAGGCTAAGGATAGAACGAAAAGCCTGCTTAAGAAAGAGGAGGGTTGCTATGGTGAGGCCAAGACAAGTGATGTTCTTATGTACGCCACACCTGACCTGGGGAAGTGGCACATGCTAGTTGGCAATTTTGATAGTTTCCCTTTATTTTCGAACCTTACACCAACTGGATGGGAGAGCAGGAAATATTATTTTTTTATCATTTAGGAAACTTGCTTGAAGCGAAAAAGGTCCCTAAAGTTTGATTCCTGGCCTGTACTGGTCTGTTTGTACTGTCTGTATGTGTGTGTGTGTGAGTGTCAAAGGTTTTCACTTTGAAATCAGAGATCTTAGGTTTCCAGTCTCTTTGCACCCTTTCTCTCTTTCTTGTTATGTGTCTCTTTCTATGTCTTTCTCACACACACATACACACACACACAGCGGCTCCAGTTGGAGAGGATTTCAATTATAGACAATCTGTCTGACAGCAGGGTTCCTCCTGTTTATAAATCACCGAAAACACCAACTGCTGCTCTTGAGCTGTGTCGAGGCAAACTAGTTATTATTGGAGGAGCAGTGGGAAAACAATGATGAGCAAATCATGACTGGTTCATCTTCACAACCAGCAACACACCACTTTAATGAGTCTGAAGAACCACTTATATTTATTTTACACTTCATATTTTCACTGTGTTTTCATCTTGTCCCTATTTACTTATTTGCCCCCATTTTTCAGATGGTTCCACTGGAAGTCTTGGGGTGGCACCAAAACTAAAAGCCATACCTGAATTTCAGGAATTTGATTATGCTTTTGAAGTATACAGTGTTGTTAAGAACTAGCAGTGTGGAGAGTTAAGGAATTATTATCTCATGTGCATCGACATGTTGAGTTCCACAACAATCCTGTTTTAATGTGTTATGTATCTACACGTGTTAGGCAATTCATAATTCTTCGAATAGGCTGGTTGTCCTTTTCATTAAAAAGACAAACATACAGCTTTAATTTGAGGGCGTACATTTATTGCAAGGTACAAAACATTTACTAGGAACAAGCCTTGTCAAGTTTAGGGGAAACTCGTTGGTACCCATCGAACCCATTTTCATTCAAATATCTTGAGGTGAGAGTTCAAGGGATCAATTTGAAAATGGCCATGCCAGTTGTTCCCTCTGCAAAATTTATCCTTAATTTGGAGCAGTATTTAGCCCCCTTCCTGACAAGCTATGCCAACATGGTTGTTCCCAGTGGGCTTTGGTTGTATGGTTTCACCTTCATGCTAGCTGAACGCACCAAAGACTCTTAAAGACAGTATCAGTGGTAAGTTCGTCAAGATTGTAGGCTCCTTATTAATACGGAGCTAGCTGGCTCTTTGGTGCTAATTTTGCCTGCTGTTTGCTGCTGGGCAGGATGTGTACAGTGGGTTTTCTGAAGTGTCTTTACAGAAAACAGCTGCCTGCTGCATCTCGAAACGATGCTGATACGAGCGTTGAAAGTGAACCAAGACAGTAAAGCAAAACAACGAGCTGAAAGGTGACAAAACCGTCTATGAAACTGAGGGGAACTACAGAGCTGGGTGATAAATCTCTGTGGGTCAACACTGTGAGTGACCCTCTTTATAAACAAGTCGTCATCTTATCCATTGTTATACGAAAATATTAATTAGGGCAGCTTTAAGTTCAGTGCTTGAACTGTAACTGCAGAATTGAAGTTTGTAAAGTAAAGCATAAAAACACATAACAAAAATGAAGTCTATGTGACATAGTCCACATGTCTTATATTCTAAAAGCTGAATTATTTTTAAAAAATCTCCCAGTTTAGTTTGGCTTCTGCAAAACTGAATTCTAGTGTCTCTCAAGGTTTTGTCTCTCTAAGCAAATCTACAAAATAAGGCTCTAAAGGCAACAACTTGAAAGATTTTCTTTTTTTAAAGGGTTATTGTCATGAAAGTCCTTCAGACTTTAAACTTCATCGAAGCAATGCCATCTGCTGCTGTTCAGAGACACCGCATTGCGACATTGACCAAGGACGCATTCACACTGGCGCTATTTGGCCCACTTTAAACGAACCCTGGTCCGCTTCCACGGATAGCTCGATTCGTTTGGAGTGGTGTGGACACTCATTCGAACTCTGGGACAGACCAAACAAGCGAAAACTGGGAGTCTCGGTTTGCTTTCAGTGGGAAATGCAGACAAACTATCCGGTGAACCAAATAGAGGAAGTGACGTAGAGCTCATTTCGCATTTTGGTGTTTGGCATTTTTGTGGTGACCAAGCCGGCTGAAGGGTATGGATTTTGGTTTTCACTCTGAGCCGGGTTTTCTTCATCCTCATGCTTTTTTTTTCTTTCTGGTCAGTTGTCGTTTCGGGCAATACCGCTCCCAAACGAGCAGCTGTTGTAACTGCGTGACGTTCTTTAAAAAGTGCAGTGTGAAAGTGAACCTAACCAAATGAAGGTGTGAAATTTTTCAGCATTCCCTTCCCAATCGAACCGAGTCCCCCGGACTATCCTGGTGTGAATCTACAATGACTCTTTTTCCATTTCCATTTTAACATCCTTTAGTAATTCAGACTTACATAACTCCTCATTCCATCAATCTGTATCTGCCTCACAGCTTTAATGACAGACAGGAAAAGAGTAGGTGGGCCTCAGAGACTTCTGGGTAGACAAGAAGTCAGGGATGAGTAGGTCCTGTGCTGACAGGAGCATCAAAGTGAAGCACCAGGCAGCTGGTCTCTGGAAAACTGTGGGTGCTAATGGGTATTCCTTGTGGATAAATCAAGGAAGTCATCACTTCGGCATTGTTGTTGGTGTTACGTAACAGCATTCAGACAGAGACTTTACTTTTCCTCTGACTGTAAACAAAAGTAAGTGAAGTACAGTGAGTGCTGAAGTGATATTGATGTAACAAAGGAAGAGGAGAGCAGAGGAGAGATTATGGTATGTGGCCTACTTTTGGAGGTCCACTCACTCCTCTTTGTACAATCCCTCCTGCTCTCTGTCTTTCATCCAATAAGCAGGTGTGTGTGTGACTCACTTCATCCTAACACCTGGATCACACACACACACACACACACACACACACACACACACACACACACACAAACAAATACTGTATGCATATGTATACATGCATACCTCCTCCTAAACACACACAAGCAGGGAGTTATAAAACATCACCATGCACCCACAGCAGGTGGTATAGATCTATAGGAGCTTAAGTATACATCTTGTTTGTAGGCAAAATGAGTTAGAGAGAAAGGAAAGCAAACAGTCTCACCTTTATGGATGCATACTGATGGAGTGATGATGATGATGAAGATCAATGTCTGATCACAGATCCACAGAGGAATATGAAGACGTCAGATATGAAAGTGAGGTGGAGCAGCGGCGGACAGCTCCGTCAGCAGCATCGGACAGAGAAGCGCTGCGCGTCCTGTTTACCCCGCAGATCTCACATATAAGGCGCATGTTCAGACACGCGTCAAGTCTGCGGCGTAGTGACCGGAAGTACAGTGATTTAGACTTTCAAATTAAAGCGTGCATTTTAGTTTGTAAAGGAAATATTACAATAGACTCGCTTATTGACAGGCTGCCAAATAATTAAAAATGATTGGACCAATAATTACCACCATCATAAAGTCATTTAAATGGTTTAAAATAAAAGCCTTGCCCAAATACTGTGACATTACCATAATAATAGATGTTAATGAATATGGTATTGGCTCATTATTGTATTTTGATTAACCAAATTAGACAGATTAGACAGAAAAAATGTCTAAAAAGCATCTAAAATAAATAAAATAAAACATTGCTGTTTCCAAGGTGTACAGAGAGCACTGACCATATTTAAATTTATTTTGTCACAAAACCAGAGTGATAAGTAAATGTTAGAGTTTCAGGGCTCCAGAGTGAGACCACTTTGGTCACACATGCAACATGAGAGCAAAAATCTGACTAAACTAATATTTTACACTTAACACTGAACTTTTTTTATTGGTTGCACCAGTGACCCTGCCTAACATTTATGACACTGATACACTTTTCCTCACACATAATGTGTAACCAAAGTTCACAAGTGCGATATCAGCCTGTAGGCGACACTGCGTTTGTGGTCTTTTTTTGTGGGTTGTACCAAACTCACACTTTTTCGTTACTCCTAAACTGGGGTATGAAGCAAACCATGACTTTTGTGTACCCTCACACCCCTGGCTGAGAAATTACCAATGCATATGGGAAAAGACAAAAAAGGTGATGCTTAAAAGGTATTATTGTGGCCCAAAAAGGCACAGTGAAAAAAATTGGGTGCATCTAAATTATGTGCTGGTGCACCTAGATGAAATGGTTAGACACACCAGTGCAACTCACTTTGGAGTTTTCCAGTTTGTTTCTTCTTAGATATGAGAAATCAGGCTCAGTAAAATGAGCCTTGCCTCATAAGATCAAAAAATCTTCCAACTGTTGGATGCAACAAATCCAGACCATTCACCCTTAGGTTGGAAAAGAACTGGGTCTGTTATAGTATCAAATGTAGAGGAGGGAGAGAGAAAGGCTATACGGTCCTTTTTATAGTTACTTTTATAATTACTTGCTTTTATAATTACTTATTAACATTTTTTCTATGTATAATTATTATTCAAAAAGCTGAAATCCACACTTGACCTGTTTGGTTGTGGAAATTCACTGAACTTAAGCAATTTTTAAAACTCTTAAACTTAAAACTAAATTAATTTTGAGCCTTTTTTATGCACGTCATTTTTTCATGTAATTTTTTTACATGAAGTAAAGTTACATCTCCCTATCTAATGTGAATAATACATCATTTTCAATAAAAGATTAAGGCAATTCAGCTAATCTAACTTTTATTTTTAAATGCACAACCGGAAGTGGTGTATTGTTGACATGGCTACCTTGACAAAATCTCAATGTGTTATCTTTACATTAGAAACCCCACTCCTCCAATTTATACAGAATCTTATGAGGAGGAGGAGAAGAGCAGAAGAAGGGGGGAGAAGAGAGGAGGAGGGGGAAGAGGAGAAGAGGAGTGGGATTCATGTTAAAGAGGATTAACCCTGCCTGAGCCATCTGTAGTCCCTGATTGATTAAGCCTCGTTACATGATAGGACCTGTTAGTGGCTCCGGTGCTCACTGACAAACACACAGACACAAACGATAACAATATTAGCAGCTTCTGTCAATCAGCCGCCATTAAACAACAACAAGTGTCTGATAAATTCATTCAGCTAATAACTATGTTATTGTTCCAAAATATATGGTGAATAATTAATTGAATAACTAATTAATACTATTTATTTTAGTCTACATGTAGTTATATTATATGGCAGAAACTAAAGGTAAAGCTGACAGCAAAGTATTTTTAATCTGTATCTGAACATTCCATCAGCTGCTATACAGTCTACGTCAGCGCGTTCGACGTCATCACGTTAACAGCGCCGCACCTACGCGCCCGCGTCCGTCTCCAATGGCAACCAAGCACTCGTAGTTTATCAATGATGGAGTCCCTTACAGAAAGCGAAATAGCACAGATAGTGAAACAACAGGTAGGCGAGCTTTGAATTTACACCTGAAATCTTTATTTAATGACTGAAAAGAGAGTGACGTGTTATTGTGGTGCGTTCCTGTGCTACTTGGAATTTTAAAACACCAACATAATCGACCCAAACATGCAGTAACCGACTGAGAGAGTAAACGCGAGCTAACTTTTGAGGCATTATATGCTACTTTATATTCTTCACTTCGTTCCAGAATAAAATTTTATACTCAACTCCACTATATTTATTTGATAGCTACAGTTGCATGCAGCTTATTAATATACAAAACAATATAATGACCTCATGTAGTCTGATGTGTCGTATAAATTACAACACTTAAACTTAGGAGTTGATTTCAGGGGGACACATGGAACACGTCCCCCTCAATATTTTGAGTCTTTAGTGTATTTGTCCCCATTAATGAAAAGATGAAAGTGGCAGAGGACTTTTATTTTGACAAAATTAAAAACATTTACACCATAAATTTATCCCAAAACAGCACAAAATGGTGCATTAAAGGTCACCAGAACGCAGGAAATTAACTGTTTGATGCTCAAAATCTTCTGGCAGAGGACCCTGAAACCCCACATTTCATATTATGTGTGGAATCCAGATAAATAACCTTAAAAAGCTTGAACACTATATATAAAGTGAAGCATGAAAAGACAAAAAGATGTAATGATGTACTTGTATCAGCAGAAACAACATGTGTAAAGTGAGTGAACCATAACCCAAAGATTGAGGTGCAAAAAAGTTGAGATGTGTCATTCATAAAAGTTAAAGCTCCACCTTTTAAGTCATTGCTTAAACATCAATGCATTAGTAATAACTGTGTTGTTGTGGCTGTATCCCTGTCTATGATAGAGAGATGCAGGTGTGCAGAGGCTCAGCTGTCACTTCCTGTGGCCTGAGTTCTGTGATGAGCGGCGGTGCTTCCACCAGGAGTTTGTGTATGACGTTGGCATATTTGCAGCAGCCCGTGGCTTCTCATGGCCTAACGTGATCCGGGCAGCTGTGATCGCCAAAGGCATCTTCCCGCAGCTGGACGGTGAGAGCAAACAGCAATGTAGTATACGGAGGCCTTGAAGGTGACACAGTGCTTCACCTGGAGGTAGTGATTAAAACCTCTCAGGCTGATAGACATTATTGTCTTCTATCCATCAGGTCTCAACGCAGCCAAAATATTGTCCTTGCTGAGAGATGTGCTGTCTGAGTATTTGCCAAACCTCACCTCTGTCCACCAACATGAGTTCACCAAGTTCCTCACAGACATTTGCATCACCCGGCAGAGGCTTCTCCAGGCGGTGGTGGGTGGAGCTGCTGACATGTCCATCGCTCAGCTACACTTGGAGGTGCAGTTGCCGCCTACACCCTGTCCTCTAGCGCAGGTAATGACGCCCTTGTTACCCCTGACTAGCAACCATCTGCAGTTAACATATCATATATCTGAGTGTGCTGTGCATGTGCTGCAGGGTACAGATCTGCATGTGTGGGAGCATCAGCGTCGACAAGCTGAGCTCGCCTCAGTGTTGCAACAGAAGGAGGAGAAGCTGCAGAGTCTCAGAGAAGGGTCAAGGGTCACTGTGGGGGAGGTTGATGTTCCTGAAGATGAGCAACTGGACCAACAGGTAAAACTCACCAAGGCTTATAAAACCACTCAAAAAGCATGTTGGAGTATCGCTCAGTTTGGCTGCCATTCTCTGTAGGGTGTTGCAGCGTTGGTTCGTGCAGCAGTGAAGGCAACAGAAGGTCAGATGCTGGAGAGTCTGAACCAAGAGGCTTCCCTGCTCAGTGACATCCTGCAGCTGAAACTGCAGCAGGCTGCACTGGCCACCGGAAGGCTCCACTGTCCTGTTCTTTCCAACACAAGTCACACTGACTTACATTCAAATGCAAGAAAGGCAAAGCAACACACAGCAAGGACAGGACAGAAAGAGTCTGGGAATGCAGGATAAGGCCTAATATTTATGAAACTGAATTTTATACTTGTTAAGGACCTGCAGACGACCTGTTTAAAAGCATTAATTGTCAGGTTAATCGTCAAATACAACAAGGCAAGACTCCTCAACCTGGTTTATGACCACGTGCATGCACCATGTTTGTGTATGGTTATAAAGGAAAAGCTGTAAGAACAAGTTTCATTTATGTATTTATTTAAAAAAAATTTGATTTGACAGAAACTTCAAAGAATAGCTTCATAAATAACATCAACATTAAAAAAAATAATAATAGAGCTCTGGTGCCTTTCACAAACTCAAGTCATTGAAGCACAACTCCAAAACTGAAGAACTCCGACGGCTGCTACATTAAATGATTAAACATTCATAAAGATTCAGCACCGAGACTGCAGCTTCCACACAGAAAGCAACAACAAAAACCATTTAGATAGAAACAAAAATATCAAAATCACCTAGTGCAAAGGAGCTATTCTTCTTTAACTTGAACACTTGAAGGTCTAAAGCTCTGCTAGGCAACTACGGTTAAAGCACCCGTAAACTATCCCTACAGTAGGGCAAGCGTTACCAGTTTCTATAGTAACAGCACCCGAGGTAAAGCCTTTCAGCGTTTATGATTATGGTGTATTTTGGTGGCCAGTTGGAGTGCAGCTCTTGCTAACAGCTAACTGGTTTTCAGGACGGCAGAGGTGCCCCCCTAAGGCAAGCGTTTAGCTGCTACAGACGACAGGCCGGCATCTGCGTACTTTACATTCACAATATGACATACATACATAAATACAGTACATTCAGAGAGAGAGAGCTTAACTCTCTTAACAGTGCAGTCAGGTGGTGATAGTATCCAGCAGGCGCTTGCAGCACAGTAAGCACATTAGTTTCACACAAAAGCTGGATGGACGTATAAGGAGGGGGTTCAAAATCACAGATATTATCAAAAATATGATATTAGGAGGTCTGGAATGTTTTTGTGATATGGAGTTTCATATCTTAGTCAAACTGGTCGTAATTATTTGAATGGTCTAAATCTTATTATTAATTTAGGATCTTAAGCTTTTAGATCAGACCTGGTAATTTTGTTGAGACATAACTTTTTAAAGTGTATCATTGAACATTAAAAAATACTCAAATCCTCGATGTCACATACTTTCAAGTAAAGCTTGCTACCAAAATGCTACAAAAGGCTCAGTAGGCTTGTGCAAGCTGGTTGCCCATGGTGATGTGGGCCAGCATGGTCTGCACCAACTCTGCGAGGTCGTACTCGTGCTTCCAGCCCCAGTCCCGCCTTGCTGCGCTGTCTTCTAACGCCATCGGCCAGCTGTCCGCTGCAAAGCGACAGAAGAAAGATTTGTAAATCTGGTGTTGTTTAAAAAAAGGCTATAAAGTAGAGATATCATTATATCTCACCTATAGCCTGCCGGATGGGATCCACATTGTAGGTGACCTTGAGGTCAGGCAGGACTTTCTGGATCTCCTGGGTAAGGTTGTGTGGTGTAAAGCTCATGGCGTTGATGTTGTAGGTGCGGCTGACCAGCGTGTCTGCCGGAGCCTCCAAGAACTCTAAAGTAGCCCTGAGACAATCATCTGCACAGGAAGAGGTGACGACGAAGGGAGGGCAAAGGAATGGGTGAGCAGGAGAGGAGACAAAAAGGAGAGAAGAAAGAGATGGAGATGGAAAGTTTAAAATGTTGACAGGGAAAAGGGAAAAAACAGCTCTACCACAAAATTATAATGTCCGGCATTACCGATGTACATCATGGGAAGCCGTGTGTCGCCGTGCAGGTTGCACTCAAAACAGCCAGTTTTCACGGCTGCATGAAAGATCTGGACAGCGTAATCTGGGAAATGTAAAAACAGATCAAGATTATCTTCTGCTTAATCTGTAAAAAATACAGCCAACTACAACATCTCTATCACATTCTCGGGTAGGTTTAACACTTCCTCCTCAGACCTGCTTACCTGTAGTTCCCCCTCCTGGCTGGGAGTCTGCTGAGATGATACCTGGATACCTGAGGCAGCGGAAGTCCAGCCCATACCTGTGGTGGTAGTACTGACAAAGAGACAGGAAGCGCTTAAAAATCATTTGGCTTTACGGGAATTCATGGTGCAACACTGAATAAAAATATAGGAATGTTTTGGAGGTGTTTGTGCGCGTCTCACCTCACCCATCAGCTCTGCGTGCACCTTGGAGACGCCATAGATGGTGCGTGGCCTCTGCACACACAGCTCAGGTGTGGGGTCCCTGGGTGAGGACGGACCAAAGGCACCGATGGTGCTGGGGACAAACACACGCAGACCATGTTCGGTTGCTATGTCTAATATGTTATGGAGACCTACGAAGAGAGAGAGAGAGACTGCGCATAAGTGTCTGTGTTGAGATGAATATGTAAAGTCTTATCTAAAATTATTCCATAAATGTTTCTGCATATACCCGTGATGTTGACTTCTTTGGCCAGCGCGACGTTGTTCTCTCCCACAGCGGACAGCACAGCCGAGTAGTGAACCAGCCAGCTGATGTTGTTGTTCACTACAATCTCCCTGAGGTTCTTATAGTCCAGGATGTCTGAGAAGATGAACGGACCTATGGAGGACACGAAAGTTAGCGTGTTTGACCAGTGTCTGAACTCATCTAGTGAGTCCTCTAGTTTTATGTAGACTCACACGAACAGTAGGTTATACAAGAACACTCACCATCGTGGTAGACGTCGTTGGGGGGCTTCCTAATGTCAGACAGGATCACGTTGTTTTTTCCAAATCGTCTCCTGAAGGTTAAACATCAATATATACAGTTCTGAGAACTGAAATCACAGGTGACAAAATGGACCAATAAACCAAAGAGAAGACTTTTCATTCTGAGACAAATTCAAAACAACTACGCCACCTTCAGAGACAGATTACATAAACTCCTTACCTTAGCAACTTGGCAAGCCCCACCCCCAGCTGTCCTAGCCCTCCTGAAACAATAAAAAGAGAGGGTCATTGACTGTTTTAGATATTACATCAAGACAGAGCTGATATAATGACACAGACTGCAAACACCCACCAGTGATGAGGACTTTAGGGTGGTCAATGTCAGTGCAGGACGGTGGAGTTGTTCTCCCAAATGCTGATAACTGTTGTGAGGATGAGCTGATACCACGCGCTGCTGAGATCAATCTCTCAACACTGCAGTGGGGACTGCTCCCAGCATGCTTCACTGCACCCCTCAGCAACTGCGTCACCAGCATCATACACCTCCTGTAAACAAAAGCATGCATTAACAGCAACTTATCTGAAGCACTTTAAAATACTGTGAGTCCATGTTGAACCACAGTGCACAACAGTTAAGTTGCATCACCATTACTAAATGTACTTGTGTGTCAGGGGCAATTTGAGCTCACGGCATGAAGGTGTCACTCTAGACGCCTCCCTGATGTACAGAACAGGGTGTACTTTTCTGTTTTAATAGTTGTCTACATGGATATAATATGTACCAACACTTTGTAATGCATTCTGCCTGTTAGGTGTCATCATTTCTGTTTTGTTCATACAATTTTTTGATGCTTTGTTGTGCGTTTTAAGTAGCCTTAATACCAATAAGTCTAGAGGCAGAAGTTTACAGGCACATGTTTATTAAATTGGATCAGTCAACATAAATAAACACACTTTCTGTAAATCAAGTCTTGCTTAATTCCAACACCTATCTCAGATTAGCTTCTTACAGCCTGCTGCTGACTTGGTCTAAATATAGACTACTTCATGTATATGGCAAACCATCCTTAATCTTATGGGGGCAGTAGGGTAAATGTCGCCAAAGCCATTAACCAACCTTGATCTGCACAATTGCAATCTATGTTAGCAGCACTGAAATGGACATTACATTGTGTATTATAATGTTAAAGTTATGGCCATTACCTTGTTATGTATTATGGTCTGACAACTGTGTAACTTCATGCATTAGAGACACACCGATTATTCATATTTCTAATGAATTACTGTACTTGTAGTCTATGCCGAATTGAAGACAGGAGCCAAACGATTATTTAAAATGTGTTATGTCTTGTGTACGAGTTACACACATTTAAAAATAACGGGAATACTTCTACATAGGTGTTTTTTTAGTTGAGGTTCGTCGTGACGTCCTCACCAGAAAACACCAAAGTGGCTAACTAGCACTACGTAACTAAACAGGGTGCGAAGCTAATGTAAACTACGACATATCAGCAGCTGATAAAGTAACTATCTTTGGGGTCAGGCCAACTTGACACCGTCTCTCCTCCTGCTGCTGAACGTTAGATAACAGTAACCTTAGCCTCGCTATCATCTCACCGTTTGACATCAACTTTAGCTAGCTGTGCTTTCATTTAGCCGCGCTAGCTAACACGTAGCCAAACCAGATGTAAACGGCTACTAAGCTGGCGAAATAAAAGCTGTAGTAAAATGGCGTTTATTTCTTACTTTAACGTGAATCAGAAAAATGAAAAGACGACTTAAAACTCCGTCAGACAGCCAGTGTTTGTGATGAAACATGAAAAGCGGTCGCGTGGCTATAGTAGAGATTAGTTGCACTGTGATTGGCTTACAGCTCGAGAGGCTCGGCTCACGAGCCTGCCCTAATAAAACATAAACTTCCGGCTGGAACTTTCAAAATAAAATCAGTATTTACAACTGAAGGAAGGAAAGGGTGATGTTAGGAAGTTACAGATTACTAATTGCCCGTTAAAAATGTAGTAATTTTGTAACTATTTTCATTACTTTATCAAAGTAATATTACGTATTACATTTGATTACTTTTCTAACAAATGTTTTAAACTGTACAATAAAGCTGAAAAAATGACCGGAAATAGGCGATGCCAAAAGAAACGGTGAAAAAGAAGCAAAGCAACAAAATTAATGTTATATTCTACATATAAACTTTTACCTAAAATAATATATTTGGATGTACCCCCTTTGTAAACACCAACATATTTGTTTGGGAACTGTAAGTTAATTACATTTTTCCCCTAGTAACAGTAACTAATTACATTTACATT